AGTCATATGGACATCCAACTTGCAGGACCTCAATGGGTCTGTCACACTCAAGGCCTGCATGGACTTGACTGCCCATTTTGCAGCAGTAAAGGCAGATAGATGCACATGTTTCATTCCAGTCCCACCTAATACCCCTTCATACCAAACAGTATTATGGCTTCAGAATTCTGCCAAGTGTGGGATAAACACTCTCTAGTAGCCTAAACAACCAAAAATCACTTGCAATAGTGTTACAGCTGTAAAGGTAAAAGCCTGGACTTTATTTAATTCCCTGTAATCCACAGTCATATGCCAGGAGCCTTCTGGCATTTTTACTGGCCACACTGGGGAATTAAAAGGGCTATGGGTGGGCTTTATAATACCCAGCTTCTCCAGTTGCTGAAAGGTTTCTTCAATTTCTTTATGCCTACCAGGCAGGTTGTACTGTTTGGTATTAGTCACCCACTGAAGCACAGGCCTAGCTACGGGCAGGTGCTTAGCATGTCCCCTCACATGTATCCTCAGTCTGAACTCCCCACCAGTGGTCTGTAACCATAGGCCCTGCAGAATATCTGTCTCCCAAATATATTTGGGGATGGGAGAGATTTACACAGTATACCCTTTTGGGGGTAAACACCCTATTCTCAACAGAGTTCAGGCTTGTTTTACTCTGATAGCCTTACCCCTGATTCCATCTATAACAGCAGGGGTCCTGGGACACTGCTCAGGGCTGCCGTAAACCAGTGAGCATTTGGCTCCTGTGTCTACCAGAGCCAGGACACATTGTACATTCACTGGGCACCAATGAATTGATATTTCTGCAAGTGGCCTCCAGTCCCTACCTGGTTCTTCAAGGCAGGTCCCTTGACCCTCCCCTCAGTTAAACCATCCCAGTCGGGTTTCTGTGAGGGTCCAGGCGAAGCCGGCTCACTCTCCAGCAGGAAGTCTTGCAGGCTCACAGGCCAGACTTGTGACTCTGTCTCCGGCTTCTGCTTCTGTTCCTTGGTCCTCACCTTAGTCAGGAGCCAAAATTGATTCAGTTGTTGCCACAGCTTCAGTAAAAGTGTATTTGACTTCCTTTTGTCTGCTCCTGCCTTTATCAAATCAACCCACATCTTGGTCCTTGTGACCTTCCAGGGCCCTTTAAGCCCTTCCTCTCAGTAGTGAACCAACTCCCTTCTGTGCCAGCATCACTTCAGTTTCCCCCAAATATGCCACAATGCAGGTGACCACATTTATGGGCTGCCCTGTTAAGGGGCAAGAATGGCCACTAGGGGCCCAAAGAGAGATGGGGAGCTGTTTGCAGCACCATATCCCTTATCCATGTAGTAAATAGCTCCTCAGTTAGGCCATGATTTCCTATGTTATAAATGGCATTTTTTCATGCCCAACTCCCATAAGACCTGTTGGAGCTCAGCATACATCTCCTATCTAGCAGAGAAGGATGGTAAGTCACCCTGATTGGGCCATGCTGTGGGAAGGGCAGCCTTTAACCACCCAAGAAGTGAATGGTTACCTGGGGTCTGGCGTAGAGTCTGCAGTCACTGTCACAAGGTGGGATGAGTTGTCAGGGAAGCCAGCTTTCCCATGTGTGATCTAGACAGGAGGATACCAGCCACCCCTACCTTGCAACAGTGCAGGAGCCAGGCTAATATAGACTCCAAGGGGTTCTGCTGAAACAGGGAGCCCAAATCCACCAACTCTACCTGTGTATAAGGGCAGAACATGGAGTGCTCCATGACCTGGGGAGGGGGCTGCACCTCTCCCAGAGGAACCCATGGTTACTCCATCTTTATTTTCTTGACTACAACTGGGCAAGACTTCAGTAGAGGAGGGGTTGGTGCTTCTGGCACCAGCTCCACCTCTCATCCTCCTGTGATGTATCCTCCAGCCCTTCTGAGGCTGATGGCAGCTCTCTTGCCCCTACGCAGAGTGCTGCCATCTCAGTCACCAGCATATCTTTTGCCTTCTCCACAGCACCTCACATCTCCCATTCTCGTGTTGCCTTTTCTTGTGCTTCTTGCAGGAGCACGCCCTTCTCATTTATAGCCTTTATTAAACACTGTGAGAAATAGGCAACCCGTGTTTCCTGCCACCACATGGGCACTCCATTTCCCTGAGGATTTCCCAATTTGTGGAGGGCCTCCACCCCTGCCTTAGGCATCACCTCCACCTCCCCTCAGTCCTGGGGAGGGGGCCACACCTTTAGAAGGATCACCACGTTGGACCACATGACCATTGGGGGAGACCCGAGTATCTCCCCAGCCATGGAGCATCTTGCAGTATTCCCCCACCTGACTGAATCACCCCTTCCATGAGGGCAGCTTGTTCCATTTTTTCAGTCTGCAGCAAATCTTGCTGACTGTGCCACTGTAGTGCCGGAGGACTTCAGCTCCCAGCAAGTTCATTCTGGATGGGTTGAGACTGAAAAATGATAACAGAGTTTTGGGAAAAGGGTTCATACTCAGCTTTTATCATGAGGCAGCCGGTTGAGCTCTTAGATTACATCTGCTACATCTGCATGCAGCAAGGCTGCAATCTGCAGGGAGCACTGGGTGGAGGTCTCATATAGCAACACAAACAATAATGGCTCATTGCCAACACATGTGCAAGCATGCACCTGCGCAGTAGGCCAAGTATTATGTAAGCATGAGATAGCATTACACATGCACAGTAGACAAGCAGATCAAGGTCAGATGAGCATCCTGGCCATGGGAAATTAACATTTTCCCTGCAGACACTGTTGGTTTGTTGATTCTTTTCCTTTCACTTATAATAACTTAAGTACATTTATTAAAAAATCAAAATTACAGTTATTGAATTCATATTCTTGATGGTTGGGTAGTCTACATATCTGTGTATATATTATTTTTAATATTATTTATAGCCTACAGCTGTCATGAATTATTTCTGAGTCAAAGTGCCTCAGCTTTATTAATGTTAGTGTTTAGGTTCAAGTCAACCAAAGTGAATCTTTGAATATGACATTCACTTCTACAGGGGAAAGGTATTTAGGTAGACAAGTATTTTTGTTTAGTTAACACCATCTTTACCACCTGACAGCTTTTTGTGTTATTACCACAGTACAATTTTGTTTGAACAGTTATCTACAAGAATTGAGGAATTCTTGTCCTTCATGCTTAATTGTTCCAAGGTTTTTTAAATATCATTATTATAAAAGCAATATATATTTATTGTAGAATATTAGAAAACTATAGAAAAGCATAATAAAAGTCACCCACAATTTCAGTATTCAGTGATGACTACCATTAAACATCTGTTAAACAGCCATTAAAATATCACCTACTAGTCTTTCAGTCTTTCCTTATGTGTGTATTTATAGAATGTATGTGTGCACATGTAGCCACAGGTCCTTTTGCCACTTAACATTGTAACTATTAACAGATTTCCATATTCTTCTCTGATTGTATAGAAATATTTTAACTCAACTCTGATTTAACACAAATTAAGACAAGATGGAATTACTGACTAAAATGTAGTGACATCTCTAGGGATCTTGATATATTTTTCTCAAGTCAGCCTCTGGAAACCCACTAGTTTGCATGCCTGTTAGCAGAGTATCAGCACCTGTTTCACCATACCTTCTGCCAGAATTAATATTAACTTTAAAAACAGGCTAATACTGAAGGAGGATGTCTCATTGTTTTTGTTCACTTTCCTTTTATTGCTACTGAAATTGGATGTATTTTCTCATGGTGGTTGACCCACAAATCTTAAGAAAATAACATATTTTGGGGCAAACTTCTGTAAGACAAACCAGCTATGATAATTCACAATTAAGTCCATTGCATTGACATCTTCATTGTCTTACTAATCCTCAGCCCCCTAGAGTCCATTAAGGGAAGTCTGTTCAGAAACAGACCATAAATACAGAGAACAAACTGGTGGTTGCCAGAAGGGAGGGGGCAGGGTGGAGGATAGGCAAAACAGTTGAAGAGGATTAAAAGATATGAACTTCCAACTATAAAATAAGTCACAGGGTGGAAAAGCACGGCATTGAGAATTAAGAAAAACAAAAGTAAGTGTTTCTTATGATAATAAAGAACATGGGCTCTGTAAGCATAAGATTTGTAAGTGTTTGATTTTTTACGTGTAAGACTGATGCTGAGCCCTGTCGTTTGGTCTTGTGTAACCCTGAAGAAGTTACCTAATTTCTCTAACCTTCAGTTTCCTCGACTGTAAGACGGGGCTGATGATCCCTGCAAGAATTCTCACAATGAGGAATTGTTAAACCCTTCAATAAAATGTAGCTATCGCTTAAAAATGAGAAATGTTTCTGTCCTATTCCCCAATAGGTATGTCAAAGTATGTTAGTATGCTGCTTAGAAGCCAGAACTTTCAATCCCAGTGAGTCTTGAAATTTACTTCATTTTGAAATTTAAACTTTTACTCAGTAGAACAGAACAGATAGTGGGACTTTGTTTATGGGAGGAAAAAAAGGGTGCTTGGGATATTACTTGGGCTGCTAGCCCAGGAGTGGCCTCAGAGTCTTGCAGGACACAACAGTGCTTTAGTCCTTCAGCAAGTTGCCCCAAAACTGATAGGATAAATCCTCTTCCACTTCTTCTCCCCATAGGGTAAAGGAAAGAGCATTGCTTCCTGCCACTAAGCTTGCATGATCATTCTAAGGTCATTATAAGAATGTGGCTTTCTTTTTACCATAATGTATCCATATGCCTGTCTGTCTAGAGATTTATAAAAACAATGTAGATTCTTATTCAAAGACTTTGTTTTATTGAGAATTTAATTATTTGCATAATGGATTTTTAAGACTAAATATCTCTTTAGGATTTTTAAAAAGTAAGTTTCAAATTCTGGATAATATCTAGTTGTTCACACTGGGGATGTGAATATGATCTATACATATATATATATATATATATACAAGCTGTTCAACCATGCTGACAGGGTTGACTGACCGATGGGTTGTTAGGAGTGTCGGGTCACCCTGACATCACTCTCTGAACTGCTTTCTCTTTCACATTCTTGTGCTTTTCCAGCTGACAGCCCACAGGGCGGGTGCTGATTCCACTAGCAGCTGCAGCTGAAAAGCAAAGTCCAGAAATGTCAGATATCCTCCGGGAGCTGCTGTGTGTCTCTGAGAAAGCTGCCAACATCGCCAGGGCATGCAGGCAGCAGGAAGCTCTCTTCCAGCTGCTGATAGAAGAAAAGAAAGATGGGGAAAGGAATAAGAAGTTTGCAGTTGATTTCAAGACCCTGGCTGATGTACTGGTACAGGAAGTTATTAAACAGAATATGGAGAACAAGGTAAGAAAGGTCAAAGCCAAGGTAATTGCAAAATATTTGCCCCTATGGGGATTTTTTCCTCTTGACAGAATAGTGTGCCTTTTCCTTCTCCAGCCCTGCCCCGAATACTAGCACCTTGGACTCTAATAAACAACTTGGATTTCCCCCCATTGTTTTGACGACAATATTACTAAGATGTTCATTGCAGAAAGATTTAAAAATACAAAAAAGCAAATAAGAAAAATCATAATTCTAACAGCTAGAGAGAAACATTTGGCACAGAACTTATTTATTATAGTTTCTTTTTAATAAATAATACATGTTCTCTGGAAAATAAGCAAAAGAGTTCTCTTAATCCTACCACTAGAGAAAACCACAGCTATATGTTTTGCTAAATACTGTTAGAACATTTTCCTTCTATGTGTGTAAGGCACTTAACTTATTTCATCAGAAATGATAACCTGTTTTGTTTTTAATTGATATATTAAGTGTGCCTTTTGACATAATCATTTATCTAATGGTTGCCTCAGTTATGGCTCATAGAGTCCAGGACATTTAAAAGTCCTCCTTTGTTCTAGTAGAAACACATTGTTTATAATTAATAATGATTGTGATTCTCAGTATCTTAAGCTGACTTGGAAAAAGAAACTGTATTCATAAGTAGTAATAATAAACAGCACCATCAAAACATTTTTCAGTGCTTACTTACTGTGTGCCAGGCATAGTTCTAAGGGCTTTAAATATATTTACAAAATATATTTAAATATATTTTTTAAAGTAATTTACTTAACTCTTATAAAAATTTTATGAAGTAGGAACTATTATTCCAATGTAATGGATGAGAATAGGAAGGCACAGAGAGGTTAAGTAATTTGCTCAAGGTAACACAGCAAATAAATGGCAGGACTGGCTTTTAAACACAGGCCAACTGGCTCCAGAGTCTATGCTCTTTGCAATACTATATTGCCTTTATATGATAATCTAATAATTACACATTTTCCTTTTTTAGATTTGGGAGGATAGACCCTTATGACAGATAGTACTATGAACGATTAGAATAGTTTCTATGGAATTCCCCAAATATTAAGAATTATTTAGAATCACCTAAGTGAATTTTTGACCACAGGCAGAAAGGGAATAAACGGCCTTCTGAAATCTCTACAAACTATACTTTTTCATACCCTATAATAACTGGCCCCAATAAACTAAGTGAAGCAAGTTTATTTTTGTTACTTTTAGTGTTTAAAGATAAGACAGTTGGGTGCAAGGGATGGGATGGTTGAGCAACTGTATTAGAAATGTATCAGTATTAATTTTTACGGGCTTAAATTTTCTCCAAAGCATTATAACAAGTTTAGGCAACTGTTCATTCATAAAGACTATACCAGGACTCATGAACGAATAAGTGATATGTACATTTGGCTATGTAAAATCTTATGCCCTGTAGCCTCAGACATGGGCATCAAGGCAGGCTTGGGAGACTGAGGTTCAGTCCTGATGAATGGCTCACTGCCAGCCTGTTGGCTTGCACTGTTCCTCAAAAGAGAAAAAATTACTAGTGGTTGTGGGCACTGTTAAAGCTCTTGGCCATCTGTGAATGACTGAGTTCAAATATTTGAAGCATTTCCTTGCTTTCATTCCCAAAAAACATCACACATACAATTCACATATTTTTTAGAAAATTTATCTTTACTACAGAAAGGATTAGAAACAAAATGTATCTGAAAGCTTCCTAGTCATACAGGGGTGAGAGAAAATTCTTAGCTTCATTTTTTTTTTCATTCTATTTTGATGCATAAATTATTGATCAATAAAATATTTCCCTTCCTTTTTTGCTATTTCACCTTCCTGGCCAGAAGGCTAATGATTCCTCCAACAGGTGTGGAAAACACACCTGAAAATGAGAGCAAAATCTAATGTTATCTTCTAACCCCTTCTATCCAGTCTCAAGAAATGACATTAGATACTTGGTCAATAATACTAACTTGTATAAACTAGTAGGGTACTGTTTAAAAGCAATAGTTAAAACATTTCCTTTGTAAACATTCTAGTTTTATGGCCCTTAAGTAGGATGAAGGTTCTAGAAGTACTTCTACATAGTCACAGGACATAACGATACCAGACTTCTACCATGATTTGGACTTTCTAAAGGGGCAAAGGAGCAGGGAAATATTAGAAAAACTAAGTGCTGAACCAAGCTGACTTCACTTTTTATACTTGATTTCCAGAATTGTAAAATTGTAAATTTTAGGTATAATTGTGCTAATTTGAAATACAAAATGGAAATCTGTTCAGAACTGAACATGTGTGTGGGTTTTTTGTTGTGTTTTGGGTCTTTCTTGTTTTTTGTTTTTGTCTTTGGTATTTTGTCATACTCTGAATCATTCAGTTTCCAGGCTTGGGAAAAAAAATTTTTGGAGAAGAATCCAATGAGTTTACTAATGATTTGGGTAAGTATAAGAATCTTAATGGATTTTTATAATTTATCATGCACTATTCTAATTTTCAATTTATATCATGAAATAAATGTAAACAATAAGTTTGAATGTTAAGCTCCATTCAATACCTCAGAACGTCATGCCTTTTACATTAGAGAGACATGGTAGCTTAGAATTATTTAGCAAGTCCACATGTCTTATTTTAGATATTGAATCTGTAGCATTTTAAATAATGTATGGCTTAACCTTTGGGAAAGTGGCAAGGCTCTTTAGGAATCTAGTGGAAGTTACAGTTGCCCCCCAAAACATGCACATCTACACAATTGTGCAGACAATTCAGGCCCAAGGTTTAAACGCATTCAAGGACCTCCTGGGGAGTCACCGACCTGGGCTGAGAATGTGAGGAAGATCTGCCCCTGAAATACTATGTTCTTAAGAAAATCACCTCATCACTTCTCTGGTCTCAGAACTTCTGTAAAAGGTTCCTTTTAGCACCAAGATTTAAATCTAGTTTCCTGTGAGCCAGATTCTTTTGATGGGCCTCCATATTCCCTTGTGGTAGAAAGATATAAAAATCTCTGACCCTTTTTAAAGGAACAAATTATTTTTAGCTTGTTTGGTTGTTTGTTTAATGGTTGAAGATTAAAATACTGAATTTTAAACACTGATCCTGTGACAAGTAGCTAAACATCTAGAGGCACATTTTCAGAGGAAAAAACTAATTTCTGGATGAATTCTGGAAATTTTTTTGTCTCCTTCATGGGCTATGTATTAAGATGTAGTTCTGTTGTAACACTCAATGAGAGAGAAATCTCATTTAAACTTCTTAAGGTTATTTAAAAAACCACTTGTGATTAGTTCATAAGAAAGTCTTCATTTAAAATCCTATGTTTGACTACTTCATAAACAGTTATTTTAATATTTCATTTGTCTAGAATTATAGGGGCAAAAAAAAATACTCCACATGCATTTTCCTCAGAACTGAAAGAGAGAATGGGTTGAGCATGTTGGAGGGGCAGAGAAAGGGGTAAAGAAGGGAGGGACTGGTGGATGAGGTGAGCTCAGACAGGAATGGGTCATGGAAGGTTGCATGAAGCCTGAATTTTCCTCTAAGTGTGATGTGAATTCACTGGACAGTTTTTAGCAAAGGAAGAATGTGATATGATTTATTCCTTGGGATGATCCCATGACTTACTGTGCCCAGTGTAGGTGCTTGGTAAGTGGCAGTGATTAACATTTTTATTCCTCAACTTAAAAAGTCTAATTTGAATTTAACTAAATGTAATGAAATGTTTCTTGCTGATGCAGAGTCATCATTGCAATAGATTCATTGTAATAGATTCATACTGTGCTTCCCAAACTTTAATCATCATAGGAATCACCCGGGAAACTTATTAAAATTCAGTAGATTTGAGATGGGGCCTGAAGTTCTGAATTTCTAACAAGCTCTCAGGTGAACAGATGCTTCTGGTCCTTGGAATGGCTGGGGAACTGGAAGTATTTGTTTATATACCTAAAAAGCCCCAAAGTGCCATGTTTTTCTAAATTTTAAATTTATATTCTCTATTGTTATCACTTTTTGTTGCTATTAATTTGCCTATTTTTGCCAGCCTCTTTCTTCACTTTCATTGGGAGGTGGAATCCAGTTTAACCAAAGATCTAAAAAGCATGTTTAAAGTGATGGTTAAGCACCTAACTTGGTAACTTGTGGTTCATTTGGAGAAGCAGTTTTGTTTACATCCTGATTTCCAGTGAATTTCACAAAGGAGAACTGTTTCTATGTATGTCATTTAGAGAGTTTTACATTTAACAATTAGTGTACTTCATCTTATATTACTTTACTGAGCATAAGCAGTATTTATTAAAAGCAGTATCACAGAGGGAAGTAGAAGCACTTCGTGTGCTGGTAAATCCTCCATTTTTTTCAATAACATATTCAAACATGATCAGGGTGACTTATGTACATGTCCTGCCTGAGGGTTTCAGCTCTTGGCAAATTGACTATGGATTTGGTTAGACTAAGAAATGACAATGGAACGTGCTTGGGGTAAAAGGGCTTATACCTGGCTTTATTCTCTTGGCAGTAGGTCGAGCACTAGGATCACATTTGCATCCAGCAATCTTCAGGTCCGTAATCCACCTCCGTCCCTGCCTCTGCCCAGAGCACTGGGCAGAGCTCTTTATATAATCAATAATAGCTCATTGCCCTATGGGTGTAGAAGCATTAACCTAGCAGGAGGGAAGTTACATCATCAAGTAGTTTAGGGTCAGGTGAGGATCCTGGCCAAAGGAACTTCCAGTTTCCCCACAGTATATCAAAAAGCAAAAGGTAGAAGAAAAAAAAAGACAAATTATCAAGGACTCAGGGTTCAGGGATTCTTAAATGGTCCAAGAGCCCCCTTGAACTGGATACAAAATTGTGCGTATATGCCCATGTGCACATTTTTCTGGGGAGAAGGTCCCTTGATACCTGAAATCCCACCCTCACTATTCATATTAAGTGCCATGAGTGACCACTGGGCAGCGTGACTTCATGAAGGGCCCTGGGTGATTCTGGCCGTCAGCAGGTCAGGAACCACCGGCATGCATATATTGATTGCCCTCACCTAATCTAAGTACATAGCTTTTGCTCCTCTCCACCCCTCGTTTCTCCCCTGAAACTAGTGAAATCTAATGGATTTTAGTTTCTTTATTCTAGGGGAAAAGATTATGTTGAGACTGTGTCCAAGAGAGGAGGAAACAGCAGAGCTTCTGAGCAAAGTCCTTAATGGTAACAAGTTGGCTTCTGAAGCATTAGCCAAGGTTGTTCATCAGGATGTCACCTTTACTGACCCGACTCTGGATTTGATCAAGATCAACATTCCACAGGATGTTTTAGGAATTTGGGTAGATCCTATAGGTAAGTAAAGGAGAATGTTTGCTTTTGTTTATTTGTTCTCATTAGTAACCTCTCCCCCCACTTTTTTTTTGCAGGGGATGGGGGAGATTGGAAAAATAAAAATTGAGAGTATAACTTCTAGAAGTTTTTAAAATTTTTAAGTTTTACAAAGATAAATGAGTTGTATTTGTTATGATATGTTGTATTATGGATATTGTATATCTCTAACATATGTATAAGTATATATCTGTGTGTGTACACATATACAAAGCTGAATTTTAACTCATCTTTGGAAGACTTCTGGGGCCAGACTGTCAAATGGCAGAGAAGGATGAAGTGATAGTAGCTATAACTAATTGGCACACATGCCATTTAAAGAACACTTAGCTCCAGTAGATTGTTGCCATATGGGAGTACAGTTCAGATCTTCAGACTTTTAAAGAGAAACCAAAATCCAAGTGTTTAAGTGAGATCTACCAGTTTTTAACCACTGGCTACTAATTCAGTTAAACAAGCAAACAATTGAAACCACTACACAGGTCAAGCAAAACACAACTGAATGTGACTTATTAGGGTCTGTTGGTGAGCCCTGTGTAAACTTCATCCACTAATTTTTTTGGTCATGATTGTGGTAGAATACAATCTATAGCTCACTGTTTTAAAAGTGTAGGCCTATCTCGATGATGCTATTAATACAGTGCCCTAGGTTTTAATTTTCAGAAGTCCCTTTTTCTTTCCCAAGTATATTCCACCCAACACAACGGGGAACATTTATTGTGCTGAACAAGCAAACCTCCTCATGCTACAAGCATACTGATACAATGTTATAGAAATGCCTTTAATCGTTAGAGAATTCTAGAACACTCAGCCAGTGGATTATATATGCAAACTAAGAATCTTTTCCAAAAATCTTTTATCACTTATGGGTAAATCAGCATCAGCTCAGGTTTCTGAGGGACAGGGATCTTCTGTTTTCTGGTTCTATCCTGAACTGATTCTGTCAGCCAGCTCTCTGGAACCTTTGCCCAGCACATCCTTAATGGGGGTGTTCACTTACTAGATGTTGGTAGTCAGCCACTGGCACATATATCTCTCGAGGAGAAACTAGCTCCCGGCTTCTTTTTCTCAGGACCACCATCAATTTCTTCCTCTTGTGCCACCATAATTGTCTCCTTTCTCCTAATTAGAGGGACCAAAAAAAAAAAGTAATTCCATTCTTAATAGATTCCTGGAAGGAGGCTTTCCCATCCACATTGGACTTGTCCTCTCACTAGTAGGAGCTCTAAAGAATCCCACCAGATATCCTAAGTCATTAGCTTTTAAATCCTTTCAACACCTGACAATTATTTGAGTGCCTATTATTTGCAAGGTGTTACATTAGATGCCACAGGAACCACAGACATGCGATTTCCCTTCAAGAGTTCCCATGTAGTTGGGAAAATGAAACACAAACAGCTCAAAAGTAAAGCACTTAAAACGTCAAATAATTCAATACAAGTGACACAAGTGACACAGGCCAAACCTGACTGGTTACTGTCTCAATCCATTCTGGATGCTGTGACAAAATGCAGACTAGATAGCTTACAAACAACAAATTTATTTCTCATAGTTCTTACAAGAGGCTGGGAAGTCCAAGACCAGGAAGCCAGCATGGTAAGGCAAGGCTCCTCTTCCTGGTTCATAGCTGGCACCTTTTTGCCATGTCCTTACATGGTGGAAGGGACTGAGTATCTCTCTGGAGCCTCTTCTATAAGGCACTAACCCCATTCATGAGGGCTCCACCCTGTCTTGCCAATGGGTTTCAGCCCTGGGCAAGTTCACTATGGATTCAATGTGACCAAAGAAAATTGACAGCAGAATGCTCTTTGGGGTGAAAGGGTTATACCCAACTTTATTTCCAGGTGGCAGGTCAGTCACTAGAATCCCTTTCACTCAGAGTGAGTCTGCATGCAGCAATCTGGTCTCCGCCTCTGGGCCCCTCTGTCCACACAGCTGTCCTCTGGGCTTCTCTGCATAGCCACCCACACAGCTGTCCTCTGGGCCTCTCTGCCTGCACAGCCATCCCACACAGCCATCCTCTGACCTCTGTTCTGCTCTTCTGCAGCCTTGCAGCCCTGCCACTGTGTCGTGCCCAGAGCACTGGGCGGAGCTCTTTATATAGAGTCAATAGCCATGTATTGCCCACAGGTGTGCAGTGAGCTAGTCAACCAGAGCCAGGTGAGAATCCTGGCCACAGGAACTCTCATTTTATCCACACTCCCTCATGATTTAAGTACCTTATCTCCCAAAGGCCCTCCTTATTAATACCATCATCACCTTACAGGGGTTAGAATTTTGGGGGGAAACATTCAGATCATAGCAGTTACTAAGCTAGTAGAAGAGAGAAATGATATAGGATAGAGCTTTTAGATGTGTTCATCATTATCTTCTAAATAATCATTATCTGAATTGAAATAAATCTGCTTTGTTTTTCAGATTCAACTTACCAGTATATAAAAGGTTCTGCTGACATTAAATCCAACCGCGGAATCTTCCCCAGTGGACTTCAGTGTGTGACCATTTTAATTGGTGTCTATGACATACAGACAGGGGTGCCCCTGATGGGAGTCATCAACCAGCCTTTTGTATCACAAGACCTAAGCACCCTCAGGTAAAAGATGGACATCTTTGGTATATAATGGATTTTAGAATGTACAACTTCAGCTTTGATTATTGCCAAGATTATCACTCACCATGACATTCTCATGACCTGATTTAGTAGGTGTTCCTACTAAAAGTGTGTGCGTTTGAATTAAGGTTGTGTCTATTTTCAACCCTAGGTCTGCCGTAGTTTTACTGGAGGCTAGGTACATGCTAGTAGAAACTTTAAAAGAAAAAGTGTCTTGGGGAAATCAGTTTTGCATTTAGATTATAGCGATCCTGTTTCCTGTTTTCTAGGGCCCACTCAAAACCAGATTAATAGAACAGTGGAAACATTGTCTTCTAATATAATTGGAACAAAATAGATGCCATCACTATATACTCAGTTGAACATTTTTACAATTTTGACAGAAATTAAAAGCAAAATGTGAAAATTATCCAGTGAAAAGATGAGTAGGTATGGCCAGGATTGGAATCTGACTATGGGCTGCTCTCCCTATAAATACTGCTGGCATCACTTCCTCTTCTGCCGCCTCCCTGCTTGCCCTTCCATGGGCTCCTGTGCAGAGCATCAAGGGAGGCCTGGCCGTCAGCTCCCTCCAGGTCAGGCCTGCACTTTGGCTGACTCAGGGCATGGAAGAGTCCACGTGGACACACTCCAGGTTTCTCCTGTGGCTTTTCACTTTTTTATTGCAACAGGTCATTTTTCCATTTGGGAAAAACAGTGTAGGGCTACGTATTTTTATTAACTTTGAATTGCTTCAGGCAACTAACAATTATTTGCTTTTTAATAATCGTAAACTGCACCTTTGGAATTTTGACATTTTTTTCCTCTACCCCTGCCTTCTTCCAAACTGAAAATGTGTTTATTACCTTTAAAGGGTTATTAAGAAATTAAAAAGAATTGGGACTGGATCATGGCCTAGAAATGGCTGGTAGAATAGTTAGTGGCACAGATTCTGGAGCGAGACTTCCTGGGTCTGCATGGAGATTACGCCACTGACATACATTCTTACGTTCTCTAAGGCTGTTTCCTACTGTGTAAATACTGCAACGTAATATGTTACACCTGAGAGATGACAGGTGCTGCTGTGGCCAAAAATGTGGGGCCTGTCTTCCTTGGTGTTAAAGACAAAATGGAGCTAGTGGGTAAGAGGATGAAGAGGAGCTGCCAAGTGAAGAATTCAGAAGGACTGTAAAAGACTTGCAGATTGAAAAGAGATAATTTATCTGTTCATCCTTTCCTGTTCAACTTTAAATGCCATAAGTAGCCATGAAATTTTGTGGTGTTCCTGGATGCTGGGAATCCCACAAATACTCTAACGTTGTGCTAGACTGATGTGATAATGCCGTACACTGAAAGCACTTTATGCGTGCCTTGGAGTAACTTTTAGAAGAGAATTAGCTACCTGGTATTTGTTTCTAGGCTTAAGGGTATTGTGATTCACCACACTATATATATATATATACTTCATATTCAGTTGGAAAGCAACAGGAGTAATGAAAAACAAATGTGATAATTTACCACCACAAACTGAAAGTTCTCTTCCACAGGTGGAAAGGACAGTGCTACTGGGGCCTTTCTTACCTGGGGACCAATATCCACTCACTCCAGCCTCCCATTTCCAAACAAAACAGTGCAATGCAAAGCCAGCTGACTGACGACACCAGCTCAGAGCTGGAATTCTCCCACCTGTTTTCCGCCGTCATTAGCACAAGTGAAAAGGAGCCCGTCAGAGCCGCGCTGTCACGTGTGTGCGGGCGGCGCGTATTCCAGGCAGCCGGGGCTGGGTACAAGAGCCTTTGTGTTGTCAAAGGCCTTGTTGACTTTTACATCTTTTCAGAAGATACCACATTCAAGTGGGACTCCTGCGCTGCCCATGCCATACTCAGGGCCATGGGCGGGGGCATGATAGACTTAAAAGAATGCTTGGAAAGAAATCCATTCACTGGACTTGATTTGCCGCAGTTGGTGTATCACGTGGAAAATGAAGGCGCTGCTGGCGTGGATCGGTGGGCCAACAAGGGCGGACTAATTGCATACAGATCGAGGAAGCAGCTGGAGACGTTCCTGAGCCTCCTTATACAACACCTTGCACCTGTGGATACATGTACATAGAGGAACTCTGTCCTCATGTACCTATAAACCAAACTGTGAAACCATGTCCCACATCTCTATCTTTTAAAGATAGCTTTGTCCTATTGACAGTTAACATTCACCTTCCTCTTTTGAGGAGCATTTTTCCATTATGTGTTCATAATAATGTTACTTTCAATAAATGACATTCATGCAGCAATGAAACAGATGTGTGAAATTCTTAGTAGCAGATGCTGTGCAGTTACTGCTGCTTCAGACACTTCAATAAAATACTGAAGGAGGAAACATTTCTTAGCAAAACTGTGAATGGCTAAGTCACAAGTAAAAGTCACTGAAATATTAGGAAGAGGATAGAGGGGGTTGTGCTTGCATTTCGTTTCCTGCCTTGAAGGAAAAAATCCGCAGTTTTAGCCTTTGGCAGAACATTTAGAACTGTGAACTGGATGCATAATTTAGTCAAGTTCATGTACTTTTAACAGTATTCTTATGTTTTTTATAAGAATTAAAGCCTGGAGTGCTGTGGGCTCCCTCCTACCTGATCTCATATTCCCCCTCTCTCATGCTTGCACACACACTCTAATACTCTGGTACTCTCTAGTACCCTCATATACATACATCATTTCTGCATGTGAGGCAGAAGGGGATAAAGAGGTTTTTGCAATTTTTGCTATTTACTACACCTAAAAAACCAGAGGTAGAGTAAAATATATACAGTTCTTCTATCTACTAGAATCCCATATTGAATGTCTCAGTCCCCAGGTAGCCATAGAACACCTTTAGCAGCCCTGTTAAGGAGGCAGTGCTCCCATCTGGAGAGATCAAAACTCTCAGCTCTTTCTTTCCAGCTTGCGCCCTCTGCGGGCCAAAGGATGTTTCTGCAGCATCCTCTCCACAATTGGAAATGACGGAAAGCTAAGTCGAATTCTTCAATAGTATTCTATTGTATACAGCAGATTCAAAGATTTATTTAGTGATGGGGTTACAGTTTTTAAAGTGCCACTGCTTTGTGATTGATGGTGGGCTCTCAAGCTGTATATTCTTACCACTTACAGTCTAGTTTTAAAGGTAAACATTTAAGTCAAACTGGTTTCATTTTTCACAAAACACATTAAAAATGAAAACCCAGAAACTAATCCTACTTCCTGATATGTGTCAGAATAGAGAAATAGAATATGGTTCAAGAAAAAATAATTTGTTATCCATATCTTTAGAGTATATAAATTATATAACATGCAGTGAAAACAATTATCTTTAATTTGATCTGAACAGTTTGTCAATTTATTGGGAAAAAAAGCTGAAAGAACAGGGAATCAAACATACCCGGTGAACATTTATTATTATATACATTCATTGTCAGTCCTTGCAGGAAAGCCAAGGCCTTTCCCTAAGCATGTATCTACTGATAGGTCTGCATTGTTTTTCTTGCATAAACCACACCTATCTGAGTATGATCTCCAGCTTTTATTTATCTAGAGGAAGAACTTAAAAATATTTGTAAGTACTCTGAGGACATAATGATACTGGATTTTTAAAAAATCTTTCCTGTGTTTTTACAATTGTCTCATACTCGGTAAATTTTTAAGATTTGTGTTTATCAACCCTGTCCAAAGCCTTCAATTCTTTGTTTTCAAATGCATGCTCCATTTAGTTTACATTATATTTAATTAATCTGTTAAAAGTACAATCAGAATATACAGTTTTGGAAAGAAGTCAACTCTTAGTAAACATACAACTCAACTTATGGGAATGGGCATTGGGGGCAGTGTTTGAGGGTGGCAGTGAAGAAGGTGTTCCAGAGAGCAGCCTTTTGGCCACGAAGATCAGGTGTTTGATGCATCATCCACTGTAATTTACAGGAGACTGGATAGAGTAATCTTTTGGCTCACTTAGATTGAGGGTGATAAAGAGAGCTTCCACTGCACAGCAATAAAAGCAGCCCCTGGGAGGCCAAGTCAACCTTGGTTCCTCTCTTCTTCTTACAACCCACATCCAATCACTCTGTAAACTCTCTTAGCTCCACCTTCAAAATATAGCTAGAATTCAAGTATTCCTCATCACTCTGCTACACTCATCCTGTGTCAGCCCTCTTTATGTCTCACCTGGATTATTGTGATAGACTAACTTGTCTCTGTACCATCTATTAACAACACAAAAGCCAGAGCAATCCTTTTCAAACACAGATCAGATCATGTCTCTGTTGTGTTCACAACCCTCCAGCAGTTCCCCAGCTCTTCAGAGTAGGAGCCAAAGTCCTTGCATAGCCTATCAGGCCCACCATCCCTCCTGTTCCCCGTGGAGTAGGAAATCATCTGCTCATATCCTCCCCCTTGCTCACTTTGTTCCAGCCACACAGCCTTCTTGCTGCCTCGAACTTGCCAAGCTGCTCCCTCCTCCTCAGGACATTTGCACTTGCTATTCTAACTGGAAAGTTCTCCAGATACTGGCATGGTTCCCTCCTTCATCGCCATCAGAACTTGACTCAAATGTCACTCTATCAGTATGACCTTTACTTATCACTCTGTTGCAGCCCACATTCCCCACACACACCCCATGCTTTCATCCCCTCCCCTGCTTTTTCTCTCCATGGCACCTGTCGCCTTCTAATACAAGACATAATCTGTTTTGTCTGTCTCCCCATTGTAGAGTTTTAGCTCCACAGGGCAGGGATTTTCGACTATCATATATCGCCATTGCTTAGGGAAGTGCCTGGGCATGTAATGAGTGTTAAATAAATGTTGACTTAATGAATGAATCGGACTCAGAAACTAGACAAGAATACACATTATCAACTATTTCCAAGTCAAATACGAATTATTTCCAAAACACTTCAGAAAACTTTGTTGTAATGCTGAGACTTAGACCTATAGTTGGTTAAATTCTCACTCGGTCTAATGCTTCAAGTAACCTATGGAATCCCGCATTAGAGAATAAACATCGAAACATTTCTTAAGCTAATATTTAAGTCCTGGATATTAGCCCTATTAAGAGTTAAGGGAGAAAGTAACGGTTAAGCCACTCTTCCTCCACTGTAATGTCCTTCGGATGGAAGGGCAGCAACAAGAGAGCTGCAATAGATGGATGTGAGGAAATTGGCCACCTGTCTCTGCAGCAAAAGCCAAACTCTTTCAACTGGGTTTGGAAATCCGTAGCTTTTTTGTTTTTTCTTGAAATCATGGCTCTTCATTTTCACACGGACAGTTCAAAGGAAGTCATCAATAGCTTGTTTAATGTAAAAAAAAAAGGGGGGGGGGAACTTCACAAAAGAAAAGAAAAGAAAACCTTGGGTTTAAAGGAAATCTATCACTAGAAACCTGCTTGAAGGATTCTTATTTTTAGAAGGGAAATACAGTGCAGATCTCTCTAGAGAGTAGTTCTTAAAGAAGCTAAGGGGGTAAGAAGTCTTAAGCTAGTTTAGGGAGCTTATTTTCCAGGCTCAAAGTGATTCAGGGGAGGTGTCACCGTGCTAGGTACGGGGTCATGGGACAGTGGTCCCTGCCCAGCGCCTTGGAACAGATCTCGCTGTCACACAAAGCAGGTAAGAGAAAGTAAGACAAAAAAAGTAATTAAGGGGCAAAAGTAATTTTGGATTGAGCGTTCATCATGTTGGAGGCATACTACATCAAAGGTGTAGGCATAGGGTGTGTTGGGGTAAGCCTTACCATCCTCACCCTTTCAGACAAGCCCAACCAGGCCTATGGTATATTAGAACAGTTCATTGTGGGGACACATTCATCATCAACAGTATCCAAAACTGTTTTGGAATAAACCAACCTGGGTTCACTACCACCTACCATGTTATCTGAAGTTAGATACTAAATCATGTAACCTCTTTGAACCCCATTAACAATGCTGGTATGCTCATGTATATAGGCTTAGAGTATAGAAGTAGGAAAAATAGTGAAAAGTCAGAGAAAAACAGTGAATGTATTCTTATCCTTCGAATATAGGAGGAAGTGCCATTTACAGTGAGAAATTTGTAGCTTTGATATTACTTTTCCCCAGCATATTTTTGTCAATTGGTCACACTAATATATCATACGCTAGGTTATGCATGTGGCAGGTTGCTTCCATGGGTGTTTTAAAAAATAAATACCAAGGATTCTGATCTAATTATCCTGATCATTCTGAGAATCATGTTCCAATCTGTAAGTAATCCAGACTTGCGCTGCCCCATTTTATCCATTAGCCTAAGTGGCTACTGAGCACTTGAAATGTGACTAGGCTGACTTGAGATATTTTGTAAATGGAACTATATACTGGATTTTATGAAAAAAATTTATGTTCATAATTCAATATTCATAATTTGTTATAGACATCTCTCTAATTCAATTTTTACAATGGAATAATAGTTTTAGATTTTGGAATAAAATACCTTAACTTGCAACTTGATGAATAGTACAACAATGCAAAAGTTCACTGTCTTGCAAATGGGTTTCAGCCCCTGGCAAGTTTGCTATGGATTCAATGTGACCAAAGAAATTGACAGCAAAACGTTCTTGGGGTGAAAGGGTTATACCTGACTTTATTTCCAGGTGGCAGGTCAGTCACTAGAATCCCATTCACTCAGAGCAAGTCTTCATACAGCAAGCTGGTCTCTGCCTCTGGGCCCCTCTGTCCCCACAGCTGTCCTCTGGGCCTCTCTGCCTGCACAGTTGTCCGGCACAGCAGTCCTCTGGGCCTCTGTCCTCTGCTCTGCTCTCCTGCAGCCTTACAGCCCTGCCACCGTGTCGTGCCCAGAGCACTGGGCGGAGCTCTTTTTATAGAGTCAACAGCCATGCATTGCCCACAGGTGTGCAATGAGCTAGTCAACCACGGCCAGATGAGAATCCTGGCCACAGGAACTCTCATTTTACCCACATTCACTCAGGAGCCACATTCACAATAAGAACAATCAGTAGATACTTATTAATAGTTTCATTTTCTAGGTCCTATCTATAAGTTACTGATTTACATTTTGTTGATTTGTTTCGTACATATTCTCTATTGTAATTACTGATTTATTCCCTCTTTCATGCAATCATATACTGTTACATCTTCTCTTATTTAAAATCTATTAAAAATAACATAACTGGGAAAATTCTTGTCCATAACTTTGATTCAATAGGCCAAAGTGAACCACAAATGAAACTTGACATATACTTTGCTACCAAGGAAAGAGTAAGAATTGGTATAAAGGAAAGCACATGAATTTAAACTGATTTGGA